ATACCATTTGAGAAGCAGCTGAGTCAGAGGTACAGATGCTTCCTGAGGTGAGCTTCTCCGGGAACCTGCTGTCCACCTACCTTGACTACCACTCTCTCTAGATGAGGAATACTATCCAGTCTGCTCCACTTTCCCTTCCTACCAGGCCCCAGCACCTCCTGACTCCAGGCCATTCTCCTTCCCTAAATGTGAATGGTGGCCCCCACCCTGCGGTTTGTTCTTGTCATCTGCAATTGCTGTTCTCTCCAACATCTTACGCATCTTCAAAGGCCTGACTCAGGGGCTACCTCCTTCTCCTGGAATCCCCACTGTGCACAGGATGGGGGCGGGGTGCTCTTACAATACATCGCTCTTCCTTTTCATGCTGTGAGAGTATTTTCCAGCTGTCTCTCTTCTCTTCGTTTATTCTTTAAGAACCTGTGGAGCCAGCAAGATGCTACCCAGGACAGAGTAAGAAATGTATCCACCAGCTCGCTCCAGGCCTGGACTATGGCAGCTTCCATCAATTGGACAGACACCTCGAAGGAGCGAGAACCACTGTCCAACAGAAGAGATCTTGGAGAGGACTTCTGCTTAACCTAGCTCCAGCCAGGACAAAGCCTTGCTCCCAGCCGGAGACAGACTCTGACAGGAAGAAAACTGCCAGCTGCCACTGCTCACAGGGCATCTACTGCGTGCTCCACACCGCTCCGTGGCCTCTGCTCCTGCCACTGACAGCTTTCTACCTCCGCCCCAGGAGCCAAGCCCAGAGTGGGCCCATGCCTCACCTGACATGAGGAAACAGATCCTTCTGGAGGCTCTTTTCTACCTGGAGGAGAGGAAGTGCTAAGACCCCTTCCTGCTACAGGCTGGGCAGATGAGAAAGACCCAGTTCTGTCATTAGTAGTATGTGACCTTGGCATGCTCTTCAACCTCTCAGAAACTCAGTTACCTTCAGAGAAAATCGAGTTATCAGAGAGCTTCATCTGGGGGTGTGGGTTGTAAAGGTTCAGTGAAGGGTTGGGTGTGGCTCACTGGTAGGAAAAAATGGCTGCTCAGTATGCGTGGGGGCCTTAGGTTTCATCTCCAACAGGACAACAGCAAGATCAATGATACGAGTTTAGAAACCATCCAGAATAGTCACAGACGTGTAATCACATGGTTAGTGAACAGTAACTCTCTCCTTTCTTCTTCCTTTTTCCTCCCCCTTCTCCCCTTCCTTTTTTCACTCCATCCTTAATCCTGTGTCACCCTAGAGGAGACAAAAGTTCACGTTAGCTTAAGAGATTGTCCCATAACCGAGGTGGTGGGACCTCAGAGCTTCAGCCAAATTCACATTTAGGATCACGTTACCTTCTCTTCCTCTATCAGAGTTCACCAAGAACACTACCAGATCCCTGAACACCAGGCCCCAGGGACCCCACGAAGCCCTGTGCAAACCCGGCTGTGCCACTTGCAAGTTCATGGGCAGTACTGAGCCATGCATCCTTCCCCTCAGAATACTTTAATAACAGGGCAGACACACGCTAAAGAAAGCTGTAGCCGGGCAGGACCAACCTCGTGAATGACACTGCGAAGACTTCAGGGAACCCGTAAGGGGCCAAGGAGGTGGGAAGACAGGAGGACAAGCTGTCTCAGCCTTGCTGACATTCAGGGACAATTACACCCTCTCACCCAGCCGAGAGTGGCACCCTGCCTTGTGGGTCGGCGCTGAGCCGGGGCGGCCTGCAGATGGCTCGGCCCACAAGCATGTGGTTGGCAACTCCTGAACTTTTGGTGACTCGGCGCCAGCTGATCTGATCAGCAATTATGTTTTATTTTGGGGCCAGGGAGACAGCAGAGAACCAGGAAAATTATAAGACATTACAGTGCTATTTTGCTAAGAATATCAGCTGCAAATTTTTGGGTTTTTTTTTTTCTTTCTTTTTTTCTTAACCAATTGTCCTTTGAATAGTTTGGGGTTTTCAGCGCACTAAAATAAGAAAGGCCTGGATGCTGACGGCAGAATAAGCCAACTGTCCCAGCACTGGTTTGGGTCTTTACCCAATGAAAACCTTGTTGGTTATACAGCTGCTTGGGGGAGGAGGTTGTTCCCACGGAGGGGGTTTCCATGGTAATAGTAACTAGTAGCAGTCACTAGTAACTGTGAGTACAGTTGACCCAGATTGGTAGGAGGGGTCCCTTCTGTAGTTGGATCCTCACTGCTTCCTACTAGCTACCTTGAATAAATCATGTACAATTATTATCTTCAGTACTTTATCCATAAATGGGGAACTATCGAGTCCAGAGCTCACCATGCAGGTCCAGTGAGATGAATCCAAGATCCAGAAAGCACCTGGATTAGGGTATGTGTCTAAGGTAACTAAGTTGGTGCCCTCTTGCCATAGGCTAAGTTTCCTGTCATATAAAACAGTCTCTGTTTTTACCACCCTATATTAAGCCCAGATCGACAACTAGCAAAACAAAACAAAACAAGCTGCAAACACCATTTCTGGGAGCAGTTCTGTTAGCGAGAGCAAAGAGTTTGCTGCCTGCCTCGGTGGCCAGATCCTTCCAGCTCCGCTTAGCTGGTAGGAAAACACGAGAATGTGCATGGGGAGCACAGGCCAGTGTAAACCCTGCGATGACTCAGGACGGTGGCGCTGTCAGTGCTCCTCAAAGTGTTTGTCCCCTTCTTTTCACCCAGCAGCCCACCACTAACCAGAGTTGCTTCCCCCCAAACAAGCCCTCCTTAAGGCTGTGTGGGAAGGGGACATAACTGCCACCTGTAAAGGAAGCTAGAGTCAGGAAAAAAATCTCTAGACTACACCCCCAGAAAACATCTCTTAAAACAATGTTTGGCCGAATAAGCTGGAGACAATGTGCCCAGGACATCCCTGAGGACAGTGACTCACCTACCAACGCCCTACCCTGGGATGCCAGCCTTCCCAAGGTTTAGTCCGGGCTAACTGTGCCTCCCACTAGCACAACACTCACGACCACTGTGAGGAAGGGGTGACACTAGATGGGATGGTCACCTCTCCTCTGACTGGTCTGCCAAGACACTCTACAGGGCCCTGCACAGCCAGCAGCCAGCATGGAAGGTCACTGTATGGCCTCTTGAACCCAGTCATTAGTATCAGCCCCAGCGTATTATATAAGTGGGATAGCAGCCTCAGAGGAGTCATGTAGCCTGTTCAAAGCCACATAGCTAGAAAACGATGTTACCAGACTTTGACACCAAGTCTGTCATGAAAGCTGAGGAAAGTGACAGATCACAGAGTTATCCTCCTGGCATGCCACAGGGATGTTCAGATAGGAAACTAGTACCTAGTGAGGAGTGAGGACTTGTCACGGCTTCCAGCTTGCACAGCTAGATACGTGGGAAGTGGGAACCTGAACCTTTCACTCTTCCAAAGCTCACAGATATTTGGAGACCCTGATATCAAGCAGGCCCAGTGTTGGGCAGCGGACAGACCTGGTAGGCAAGCTGTGCTCCGTGGGCTTTCTGGCCAGAGGGTCAGCTGTGAGAGAAGTGACCCTAACCACACATGCTGTGCCGTTCAGCAACACGAGGAGTTCACAGAGACAGGAGCTGGTTTCTGACAAAGTAGCCTGGGTGGCTCTCAATAGAACGTACCAGAAATCCTATGTGTGGCCAAAGCCTGATTTGATCACCTCATGAAAATGGCAGAGTAGACAGACTAGGAAGCCTATACTCACAATGGCTAGGTCACTGGGGCGCAAAGGAATCCCAAGTATCAGCTCCCCATTGATTGTCTGCAAAGGCCAGCAGAGGAAGCCTCAGAAGACATTGGGTTTGCAGTCACCTGTTTGCTCTGTCTAAGTCACACCTAGAACCCCAAGAGAGAGAAGTTGCATCCCTGAACAGGCTCTAGTCCTCCCCCTCCCCCAAGAAGGAGGCACAGGTGATAGGCTAGAGAAAGTTGAACAAAGAGGTTCTTAGGTTCATGCCTTTACAATGACTCTAAGAATTGTCCTTGCTGAGATGCAAGCATCATTATCTTCTCCCACCAGGTACCGCAGTCCACGGAAATACGAGACTGAGAACTGAGCAGAGGACAGAGCCCGAGATCATGACCAAGCCATCACTCTACAACATGAACTCATTTCTCGGCAGTTGTGCCAAGTCAGTTGGCGGTGGCTTAGTGGCTCAGTCACCAGCAACAATCAACTAATGAACATTCCGGCAGAAGGACCGGCCCAAGGCTCTCCACACGAGGACTCACATGACCCGAGGCTATTGCTATGGTGACCAGCTCCCGACAGATCCTCACCTCCAGCTTTCTGTTCTCCTCAGCACCACTGACGCTATGCTTGCCACCTTGTTAAACTAATGAGCCAGAAAGACAGTGACAGCCACTTTACCCCGCACCCCGACCCCGGGGTCTTCTGCAGTGAGGTGCAGCGTGCAGGCCATCACTGGCTCTTGGTAATCCCAGGTGGAGTTTATCCAAGAGCATGCCAGCTGGGGCTGCACGACCTTGCTGGCTCTTGAACTTCAAAGTCCCATTGCTAAGATCTAGAGCAACATGACCTCAGAGAACCAAACCCTGGGAAGGTCAAACATGCACAAATCCCCAGCACTTCTCTGAACTGCTTTCCCTGCAGCTTCCAAAATGTTCCTACCCGAGACAAGAAGTGGGTTATATTTGGGGTCTCCCCCACCCCAGATGTTTAGAGTATTGGTACATACATAATGAGGTATGTTGGGAGAGGACCCAAGTCCAAGCGTGAGATTCACTTATATTGTATTTTACATACAGAGAACCTGAGATAAATAACTTGAACAGTATTTCGGTGTATCTGCATTTTGCCTGCATATGTGACCTGTCGCATAAGGTCAGGTATGGAATTTTCCACTTGTGGTGCCATGTTGCTGCTCAAAGGGGCTAGGTCTGGGGGTGATTCGGATTAAGGATGCGGAACACGGAGGCAATCAGCAAAGGCAGAATGTCAGGCGGTGGAGGGCACTTCGAGTCCCCAGAACACACTGTGAGCACCGCAGTCCTGGGTCCTACCTGGATGGGGTTGTAGAGCTCCTGCAGGGGACTTCGTGATCCCTTCCGACAGCAGATGTCCACACCGAAGGGGTTCCTCCGCATGACTGAGAAGAGAAAGTGAAGCTCGTCAGAAAACAGCTTCAAAGGTTCGAAGAGAAGGCATCTGGGAGGGAGGAAGAAGCAAGCAGGGTGCAAAGGAAGAAAAACTAGCTTCTGGCAAAGAGTCCACTGTCCTCCCTGGCTGCAACAGCCCTGCTCCATTCTGCCCCCAACATTCAGATATCCACACCCCGGTGTTGCCGAACCCACTAAAAAGTCTCTTCATCGCACACAGGTAAAAAAGACAGTTGCTCAAAGCTCACTGAAATGCAGCCCCTTCCAGACGCCGTCAGAGTGCTCTGGGAAACAAGTGTGACTGCCGAGTCTCACACCACCTAGCAACAGGGCTGTGGTCTGAGGACTGAGTAATTAGGTGACACAGTTACACACCCTGAGAAGGCTGTTGTTCACAGAGGCCTGGTGATGAGGCTGTTGAGGCAGGACACAGAAGACTGTCACTGTGAGCCTAGGTCCTAGCTCGCTGTCACTGTGATAAATGCCAGAACCAAGAACGACTTAGAAAGGAAAGGGTTCATTTCACTTTAACAGCTTACAGAGATGTAGAATCGGGAAGGGACACTTCTGACTCTGTTCCTCATGCCTCACTCAGCTCCTTTCTGAGACCACCCAGGACCAGCTGCTCTGCTCAGGGGTGGCCCCGTCCACACACAGTAAGCTGGGCCCTCTGCTGTCAATTGGCAATCTACATGCCCTATCTGCATGCCAGTCTGATGGAAGCAACTTCTCAATCGAGGTTTCCTTGTTCTGGGTATGATGGGGTGACAATGAAGACTAGCCATGACAGCATCTTCACAGGAAGAAACACATTTCAGAGTAATGATAAAAACCAGTGAAGGAAATACAAACCAGCAGCACGGCTACACACATGGTCTGACGTCACATCCTGTACTTGATTGGGTGCACTATGTTTTAGGGAACTGTGGTGCTGGCAGCGTGTGCGCTTACAGCAGTGACACGAAAGACCCAGGCTCATCCTGCTGTGGCAGCTCTGTGATGTGGCAAAGGTGTCACTATGCTTGCAGCTTTCACTTCCATCCTGGTCTCACAGGGTTCTGTTCTGCCTGTCCCTAGCATGCAGTGTGCAGGCAAGACCTTCAGACGACACCTCCTCCTCCAGGGCCCCGCAACCTGGGCATCTGAAAACGGGGTGAATCATTTCCAAGGTAAGTCAAGGCCACTCTCCCCAGTCTCTCCTGTGTCTTCCACAGTTTGCATTTTTGCTACATTATCAACTGGAGGTGGAAAGGATGACAGTCTGTGGTTCTAGAACTCTTTCTTTCATTTTTCCCATCCACAAAACACCCTGCATCCACACACTAACACTAACTACACCCAGAAGAGAGGAGAGAGGAAAAGAGAGAAGGAAGGAAGGAAGGAAGGAGACAAGGGGGGCAGGTGGGGTGGGAGAAGAACAGATGAAATGGGCCTTGTGCAAACATCAACAGCCCATCAGGGAGCATCACTGCAGCCAGGATTAAGGGAACAAGAAGAGCACAGCCTCCCAGAGGGGAGTCGAGGGGACACGCTGGTGTGTGGTCGTGGCCACGCGCACACTCCCTCACTCCCTGCACAGACAGGCTGGGCTTGAATGTGCCTCTAGCCACGTGCCAGCTGTGTGCCCTTAGGCATCACCCATCGCCTCTCTGTTTCCTTGCCTGTATAAGAGAGCTGAAAGAGAGTCTCTCTGGGTTGCTTGCGAAGACTGAATGAGTTACAATGCAGCCTCCTTAATGCCTGGCCAGCAGCCAAGGCAGAGGTTCCTGAAGCCATTCTACATAACACACTAGATTTGCGAATAGCCATCTATGATCAGTGTTGCCTGACTGATGCTGGAAAGATGGAAAGACTCTCCCTGAACCAGTGAGTGGGCTGAGAGTGACTTGGCCACTCTTCAGCCAAGATAAAAGACTGAGAGGGCTGGGGGAAGGGCTGCTGTCCAGATGTCAGCCTGAGCTCAGAGGTGAAGACACCGGGCTTGGAAGATGGTTCACTTGGCAAGGTGATGACCATGGAAGCCTGAGGCCCGACTTTAGATCCTGAACCCATATTAAATACAGGTGCAGTGGCATATGTCCATAGCTGGGTACCCCCTGGCCCTGGGGAAGAAGACGTGAGACCCCTGACAATCACTGGCCAGCTCCCCTTCCTGAAGTGCTGAGCTCCAGACTGACTGAGACCTGGCCTCAAAAAATAAGGTGTCACCTGATAGAACACACTAGACGTCAGTCTCTGGCCTCTACACATGCTCATACATGCATATGCACGTATATACATACATACATGCACACACAAGTACATAAACATGTGCACTCACTCACACACACATGAACCACCTCCCCTCCACACACACACACAACCACTCCCCTTCATGTGTACACACATGAACACACACACAAGCATGAAGATTAATCTTCATAAGCAGCAGGTGAACCAACCCTCTCCCTTGACTTTACCCTTTGATCCTTGAAGAGACCCTAAAGGAAAGCATCATTCTGGGGAGAAGAGGCCATGTGTCCTGGCCCCTTTTCCTCACCTTCCTAGCTGGAGGAGTGCTGGCAAGCATTTTCGGGAAAGGACAAGTGGCACTTAGCTCTGTGTCATCATTTGGGTGAGATAACAAGAGACAGAAGAGCAAGAGTGGCAATGGCGCATGCCAGCAAGTTCCATTTATACACAGGAATCTGGCGCTCACAGCATCTTCCGGTGTTAGGGAATATGCTTCCTTTGTTGTTTTGGTTTAATGGCTTAACAAAAACAGGCAGTAGGCAGGGTTTGACCCTGAGGCTGGAGTTTGGGGATCCCTGCCCTGGAGCCTGGGGCCCCAAAACAAGCTCTGCACAGATCCTATAAGCCCAGTGGCCTTCCCATGGGAGGAGGGATCTTTGAGCAGAAGTCAACCCATAAAAGCCATTAGAATTTGATGAGGCTGTCCAGAGGGGGGAAAACAAAAACACTGGTTCTTTGTTCCTCCACGGCTGCCCAGGAAAGTGAGGGAGAATTCTTTGTGTTTTTCTTTAATTTATTACTTCATTTTTCATTTCCACCCAAAAGGAGGGAACTGCTGAGGGCACGCAGGTCCTTCTGTGCAGTGGCGTAGCAGTGCCTGGAGTGGAGAGAACTTCCATAAAATGTCTGAAACTACAGCCATGCTGTGCAGGACTGAAGTCCCCCCACGGCAGCAGACAAGCTCACCGGGACCCGCCACACTGAACACCCCACCACGGAATCATTAGGAGCCAGCTTTTACAGGAGGCAGTATTATTTAATTGGTTTATTTTTCTAAAACAAGGTCTTTAAGGAGCTGGGATGGTGTGAGGCCTGCAGCTCAGGTCCTTTACCTGTGACTTCATGGCGGCCATGTGAACTGACTTTGGCACCCCAGGCTACAAAAGCCAAAGAGGCCTGTGTGCTCTTTCTAAGTGTGACAACAAGCCTGGCCTGTGTAGAAGGCCTGTGAGTGTCGGAACACGAAGTCCTTCAGGGCATCACAGTGCTCCAAATGTTTCACAACTTAGATTTTTGGATTTCAGACTTTGGGGCTCAGTGAGTAATGGCACCTGCCACCGAGCCTGACGATGGGAGTTTGATGCCTGGGACTCCACACAGCAGAAGGAGAAGACCAACTCCTGCAATCTGTCCTTTGATCATGCACACATGATCATACATGCACACATACACACACACGCACACACACATTTAATTTGTCAATTTATCAATTTTCAAGAGACTGATAGAATGACCAGCTGACAGTCTACACAAATATCCGAATGGATCCCACCCTCCTAAGCAGTTCCCATGCACGTAAGTCCTCACAAAACCCACATCTGTACCAGCCCGTCAACAATGAAAACGTCCCAGGAACCTGTGTCTGCGAGCTTACAGCTCAGCATGAAGAATCTTTGGTGCTTTGAATCTATCTTGTTCAGAGTCTGAGGGGTCTTAAACTCCACCTTGCCACGCTTGCTGGTTCTCAGAGAATAAAAGAGGGCCAATGATTGGACAGAATGGCCTGAGGAGCAGGCCAGGGCGGCACAGTCCATCCTGAGCTCATCCAGGCCCCACAGCAGCTGTCACTGCCCCTCTGTGAATCCACCATGGGACGTTCTGAGTACAGATGTATGACACGAGCAAAAGTGAAACCAGAAGCCAAGCTCTCAGGGGATTTAATGAAACGTGCTGATTCTGCAGTCGCATGTTAGAGAACAAGAACAAAGTCAGTGAGGCTGCTAGCAGACCCCGCTCCTTCGAGATGGCTACCTTAGCCTTCTCAGTCAACAGAGCTGAGACAGGACAAGGGAGGCAAGAGCAGGGTTAGGGACCTGAGTTTGCTCCCCAGAACCTACATGAAAGTGCCAGGCTTGCTGGTGCACTCCTGTAATCAGCACAGGGGAGGGGGGACGGTGATCCAGAGACCAGGCTCATTGGCCAGACAACCCGACCTAAGGAGTGACCTCCAGGCAGTCAGAGGCCTTGTCTCAAAGGGTGCAGACAGGGCTCTGAGGGTGACACCCGAGGCTGTCCTCTGGCTTCCATGCACACCTGCGCAAGTCACGTGTGTGTGTACACAGGCACACACACAAACACAAACACATGCAGGAGTTAGGGAAAGACCGGAAGCAAACAACAAAAGCATCTAGAAAAATTAATAGGAGAGAGCACACTCTCCATACTGTGGTATATACCCAGTAGACTCCATAGCTGTCTAGCAAACATGAACCCCGTGCTTACATGGACCCCATTATCTCCCCTCCTCAGGCTGCACAGATTTGGGGGAAATTCTACTCTCTTACAGTCAGTCCCATATCTGTGTCCTTTAGTATTTAAGCTCATAAAGCAAAGACTCCTTCCCAACACCCTGAAGGAGCTGCTGAATACAGCTCTCAGCTGCTGAAGGTCAAGATATAAATCTAAGAATTCAGTTACTATTCCTAGCATCACGGGAAAGACAAGCAATAGCATTCATCTCAGAACCAGCGAGTTCATT